AATAGTGGTCTCTCCACTAATTTTTTTGTGGTGCGGAGAATCCAAATTCGCTTCTTATCTTTCTTCATGCAGTAGTTTTTATTGAACTATTAAGGCACATATCAAAATAAAAATAGAAGGGAGATTTCTTTTCTTGTCGCCTTTATTTTATTGAGATTCCATCTTTGATTCTTTGCAATATTTTTTATCGTGGTTTGACGGGATTAGAGTTCTATCATGAATAGTTTATTTTATAGTATTATGTCAAACTAGGAAAAACTGGGGCTAGAGATAAAGTTACTCGGTTTCCTCTAGTACTATAAACCAAGGTTAAATATATAGGAGAGGTATATTGAGTGAGCCTTGAAATAGAGCATAGAAGAACCGAAGGGTAGATTTAACTGAAGGCGTAGATTTTTTCTTGATTAATAAAGAAATTTGATTTTTTTGTTTTCCAGATAATCCTCCCCTTCAAGGGAAAAAACCCATCATTCTTTTATGGTCTAGATCTGTGTTTGAGTATCATGCACCACTCTTATTTATGTTCGTATATATACTTGTAAGAGAGAGGGCTGGAGATGAGAGAGAAGAGAGAGGAGAGAGTAAAATGAAAGGAATTGATACAAGGAGTACGTCTCAAGTTAGTTAAATAAAAAGAGAGAGGAGCAAATGATATCGAGGAACTCAAAGCCTCAAACAACCATCAGTTGTGCAGTCACTTTACTCTTTAGATTTCTTTTCCCTTTCCACTTCATTCCTAATCTAATCTTTTAACTTTTATTTTTATTTTTTATATATTTTCTTCTCATCATAGAAATCATTCACATATATCTCAAAGTGGTGTATATCGTTTGATTAATTAGCAGCTTCTTTTTCATTAGCAAACTTGTAAAAAGATATTAAAGCCACTAAGAATCAACTTTAGTAAATTATCTAGTCTTAGTTGGTAATAAAGCAGTTAAGGTTATATGTTTAAAAGTGGCATTTTTACATGCTTACCCCCATTCAGTATTAGTGTTTGCTATATACTATTAACATAATTACGGTTTGTTCAAGTAAATTTGGATCACCTTTACTAGAACAGTTGTAATTTATTTTAAATATAACTATCATACCATATAAATGAAGGTTCATTTGCCATTGAAGTTCGCAATAGAGTGCTGTTTCCTCTCTCACTCACTACACCTTCTAATTTGGGTTTAATTGCACTTAAATGATTACAATTAAGTGAACCTTTTTGTTTTAAAAACCGAACAAAAGAAAAGACCCAAAGTATTTAAGAGGCTATTTGGTTGGTTTACTAGATATTAAGGAAAATGATATTAGGGATGGAAACAGCTAAGAATGTGTTTCCATTTATTTACTTACAAAAACCTACGAAATGAGTTTGCTTGAATTTGAGTCACATCATCCAATAAAAATGTATCATATAAATTTTTTTCACTTTGTTTCAACGTGTGAACCAAACAAAAGACATAAAATCATTATAGGAAATACATTTCCTGTAATTGATTTCCTTGAATTTTTAGCCAACCAAATAACCCGTAAGTGTTATAAATAGACGCTTCAAAGTTTCAAAATGTTCCACATTGGTGTCCTCTTGTTTACCCAATGTTACAAATAAGTACCCCAAAAATTGTAAATGGCCTCACTTAAATACTCCAAAGTTTCTAAGAGTTTCACTTTCTCACCTTCTATTATGTGATGCAGAGAAAATATAACACCCTTTGGGTTTTTTTTATAACTATGCAGCATTCATTTGCAAACACTTAAGCATATAGTTTTTTTTTTTTTTTTTTTGTTCCATTTGAAATCATTGGGCATTTAAGCAATTAAGTCTTTAATTTGCTTCTTCTATTTATAAGTCTTCAAATTAATTTAAGAAAATACTATTGCTATATTACAAATGTTGAGAAAACTAAGAACCAGGGGACAACAAATTATGCAACCAATGTTAATTAGTACAACTGGAGACAGAAAAAGATGATCCAATAACAGTAACTTTCTCTGACATCGTTTGGCTACCAAGTTAGACACTCTGATCAAACCCACAAATATCTGACAAACACTATATATAGCTCAAATTGATCTGAAAGTTACTACTGCTCATTTTGATTCAAAAGTATAAAGTATAGCAACAGCGATAACAATAATTGAGTAAGCCTTGGGACCTTCACGTAATGCAATTAGATATTTAATTAAGGTTGTTTATGAAGAGGATCAATTCATGCACATGTGATATGATTATAGCTAGTAAATGTATGGTTAAAAAAAGGTTTTTACATCAAAACCACATTTACTTTTTTTTTTGTCAATGAACTGAAATTTTATTCATTTTCCAAATTGAGATCATCTTTACTTTTATCCAAATTTATATTTACCAACTTTAAAGTTTTTTTAAATGTAAACCACATTTACTTATTAACATATTTGTAATGTCGCACCTTTTTATTCACCCACGGAAAATCAAATATTTCCATTTTAACCACATCTTCTTCCTTCTAACCCCTAACCCTAACTGTAGCCTCCTCCATCCTCTTCTTTTACAAACCCTAAACATAATCCTAACCCATGGTCGCTACCTCCCTCAAAGTCGTAGCCCTAACTTATGGCCGTCACCTCTCCCAAAACCCAAACCTATGGCTCCCACCTTCCCCAAACCTTAACCCTAATCCTAGTTCCCACTTGGGAAGGAATGGGAGAGTGGGAGGTTAGAGAGGAAGAGAGAGAGAGAGAGAGAGAGAGAGAGAGAGGAGTTGGGGGAGGAGGGAGAGGGAAGACAAGAAGAAGAGGATGATGATGATGCTAGGGTCAGGGTTAGGGTTAGGGTTTGTAAGGAAAGAGATAAAAAAAGAAAATGATGAGGGGAAAATAGCCGTTTCGCATATTGTTTGGCTAAAAACTGGATTAGATGTGACATTGCAACCATGTTAGCAAGTGAAAGTGGTTTATATTAAAAAAACAATTCAAATATGGTAAATATCAATTTGGGTAAAAGTAAATGTAGTTTTCATGTAAAAGAAAAAAGAAAAAAAAAACTAGGTAGTTGTTTACCTCTTCTTTTCTTTCATTACTTACTTTCATTTGTTAACTCATTATCCAATAGGAGGGGGGCACCTCACTTGTCCCCCCTATTGGTCCCATATTTTGGGTCCCTGTAGCAAAGCTCATTAGGTGTTATGTTGTCATAAATTATTCGAGAATTGTGTGCTCTGTTTTTTTTACTTTTTCTCAGCTGTTTTATTTTGTTTTTTGATGGTATTATTATATATTTTCTTTTTTTTTGAAATAAATAACATCATCAATATAGTTAAAGCGCATCATATAAATAATAAAACTAATTTTTATATATATGTAAGAAGGAACGATAAATAAAAGAAATGTCATGGTGCAAGGGCCGTACGTAGAGAAATTCGAAAATATATCTCTTCTTCCTAAAGAAAGTGAGCACATGAAATAAGGGTTTTATGTAATTTTTTCTTAATAAAAGAATTCTCAGAACCCTTTAGTTCATAAATTAGATTTTGTAATTAGATACAAGATGATTGAAGCACCAGGAGAAGTATAGCATCCAAGATACGTTTATAAGCTTCCTTGAATATTGTGGACATGCAAGGAACAAAGAAATACATCGTATTTTGTTATAAAGTTTCAAACATTAGACACGAGTTATTTTCTCTTGGTAGGTAGGTTGATGGGTTACATAAGTTAAAAGAGAGAGAGAGAGAGAGAGAGAGAGAGAGAGAGATATCGTTAAATATCAATAAATCGATTGAGTAATTAGCGCCTGCTTGCATTTTGGCTTGGTAAATTTCCAATATGATGGACTTTGGCCTAGATCATTAATGGAATTTGGCCTAGAATTAGCCTTATATCCAACTCAAGCGCTAATCATACACTTGAAGATCTAATCAAATTAAACTCATTGTGCTAAAACCCCCCAAAAAAAAATTCAACTATTGTTAGGCAAAATTGTTCCCTTGAATTTAGCCAGGTAGTGCTCAGATCCCAACTAGCTAGTACATTGGATACAAAATCATACGTTGCTTGAATTGACTCCAAACAGGTACCCGGTACCCCTCACCATGTGCACTTTGGTATAAACAGGTACCTAACTTTTGGACTTTTTATCTCCCCACAAACAATCAACCATCTCGAACTTTTAAAAAATTAATTATCACAAGATTAAAAAAAAATCTAGTAAATTAGATGAAGACAATAATGCATCCAAGCAGAAAAGAAACATATTACATTAGTACATGAATAGGAAAAAGAATTCCATCCCTCCACAAATTCAGCATGCATCTTCTCGACATACATCAGAGCATGACAATATGACTATCCATTAACTCTTTCATTTAAACTCGATCGTATCCAAAAATAGTGATGTAATTTTCTCTTTCGCCCGATTTTATCGTACTCGATGCATCGGGCCAACTAGATAACTTATTGTATCCAAATATTGACACGCGGTATATAATCTGGATATCGGATTGTTAATATGAATATGTTTCTGTTTTCTGTCTTGACTGTATCTTATCAGATATATCCGGTCAACTGGATAATTTCTCCACTACTAAGTCATGCACCCCACACATTACTTGAAAAAGAGAACTTCTTAAACTTTACCCTTCCCCCACTCCGCAACTCCGCAATCAAGAGGCAACAATCGAAAAAGTAGAAGGGGGAGGAAAAAGAAAAAGGAAAAAAAGGGGGAAAAAATCCACGCCGAAATTAAATTCAAAAACGGTGGTGCTACGTGAGTGGGCCCCATGCAAAAACCAAAGCATGTCTAGAGAGAGAGAGAGAGAGGGGGGGGGGGGTCGGGGGTGGTTTTTAGAGAGAGAAGCTTCGACGTCACGACAGTGAGGACTCAAGAGTACAGCTAGCAATGAAAGGAGGAGTCTTTACCTACCGTTTGCAGAGGCAGCAAATTTAACACCCACGGTACAATTCACAAATTCATTCATTCATTCATTCTCTCTCTCTAGAGACTCTCTCTCTCTCTCTAGACAAGCTCTCTCTCTCCTCACGTTCACTCCCTCCTTTTCTTATTCTTTCTCTCTCCTCCCCTCCTACTCCTTTTAAGGCCCTTCCCCATTTGCCCACCCTCTCTCTTTCTCCTCAACAAGCATCCTTCCTCCATTTTTAATTTCGTTAGAAATTTGAGCAGAGTTTTGTAGCTGAAGAAGAACTAGATAGAAATTTTTTAGAGGGGGAGAGGGAGTTTTGAAGAAGAGAACTTTTCCTAGTGGTACCATTTCTGAGCTCTGATCACTCTGCTTTATGTGTCAATTATCGCAATTGATTTCATTTTGTTATTTTTGGAGCCAAAATTGAAGTACCCAATTGATTTAATTTCTCTCTCTTGCACAAAATTACTTCATTTTGAATGGTAGTTCAATCTTTGGTGATCAAAGATTGAATCTTTTTTACTTTGTTTTCAAAAAATTTGGATTGTTTTTTTTTCCTTCTAATTTCCTTATATTTTCTAATAGTTGTTTAGAAATTGGTGTTTTGGGGAAAACCATGCGTTAAGCTAGCTGCTGTTTCTTTCATCCTGCGTTAATTTTTTTTTGCTCATAAATTGTTTGCATTTTTCGGATAATTATCACTTAGGCCAATTAGTAATAATGTGAGAATGGGATAGCAAGAGTTTGTAGGTTCAAAATTACTTAGGAATTTGATTTTTCTTATTTTCTTTTTTTAAGAAGAACAGCTAAAAATTCAAAAAAGAAATTTTCTAAACAAACACATTCACTTTTTTTTCTAAAAATCGAACCATTTGAGTTTTTTTTTACAAAAATCAACACATTTTTCTTAATCCGGTTCCTAAATAGTCGGGATTGTCAACCCCGACTATTTAGGAGGTTACAAATTCCCAATTACAACCCTAAACCCTAACATTATATGCACTAAATAGTCAGGGTTGGCAACCCGACTATTTAGGAACCGGATTAAAAAAATATGGGTTGATTTTTATAAAAAAACGATTTAAAAAAAAGTGAATGTGTTTGTTTAGAAAATTTCTTCAAATTCAAACGTTCTAATTTGATTTTTTTTTTGGAGAAAATAGAGGAAATGTATCAAAAATTGGCATAAAATACATCCTTTTCCCCAAATTACCCTTCTCATTTTGCCCATTGACCATTTTTCCTCTGCTAAAATGCGCGGAGACAAGGTCAATAATAGTAAGAAGCAATCATTGTCAAAGATTTTTCCCCCCCTCCCTTCACAGTAAGGCAAACAATTGTAACTCTGACGTGCACGACCAATAAAAGGCCTCCACGTGTAATCCCACCAATCAAACACAATCCACGTCATCAATTCCTTTGCTAGAAAGATTCAATGCACGTAAAGAAATTTAGGAATGTTCCTCGTTGGTAAAACTTGGCAACTAATTGGTTCAACGCGGTTAATAACTTTTTTTTATAAATACTTGTCAACATTTTGCTAAACTTTGTTTATTATTATTATTATTGGACAGATACTATGGCTTCAAATGTGTACGTGGATGAAAAACTTGAGATGATGTGCGAGGGGCTATTTGACAATATTGAGGATTTGTTGGATTTTTCAAGTGATGATGAATTATTGGGAATTAATAGTGGTGACAACAACAAGGATGATGATATTCATATTTCTCAAGCTACAACATCTTTTCCTAATTCAGGTGAAGGAAGCCGAGTTACAACCGCTTCCGAGGAAAACAAAGTTGTAAGTTCGTTTCCTCATAGGAGGTCATTTGTTTTTTTTTTTCAATTTGTTTAATTTTTCTCTATTTTATCATTTTTCAGAAAAAAACAGTGTTAGCGGACTATAAGAATTAAACTATTTTTTGTACTGCAAGACACAGAGAATAGTATAACTTTTGTGCAAGAATAATGTAACTGTGTGCAGACTAGTTCTCACTTCTCTTCTTAGTACGAGTTTTGAGGGTTTTGAGCCATTTTTTAAAAAGAGAATATTGTTTATTGTAAAAATTTTGTTACTTTCAAGTTGAAAAAGAGTATTTTGCTTGTGATACTAGGGTGTCGCTATCATATCATAGTCTGTGTATTTGGGGGGCTATTTGGTTAAATTTCTATAAGAAAGAGGAAAAAGAAAAGTACTTAAAATTTAATTTCCTTATATTTCTATAAAATTTATAGAACTCAAAAGAGTACCATATTTCTTATTTTTTGCTATTTTTTGTTTGGTTTAAAGTATGAAAAAGTTTCTAACTTTATAAAAAAATATGTTTTCTTGTTTTTGGCTGGATGTCACTTTATAGAAAATAGTTTACTAACAATACCCATGAGAAATAACATAGGAAAAATACTGATGTACTTAATTATTTTTTTAATATAAGCGTCAGATTTCTGTGTGATTTTAGCCCATTTTGAGCGGAAATTGATTTTTATAAAATATGGTACTTTCTATACTTTACAGAAAACTTTTCTGTAAATTTTTTTTGAACCAAACACAATTTATAAAAAAATTTAAAAAAGTTTTATTTACAAAACTATCACTCACTATCATTCACTTTCTATATAAATTTTCTATAAAAGCACTCAAGCAAACAGTCTCTTATAGTGTTTCTTTCATATAGTAGGATATAAAATTTAACACTTGCTTCAATTATTTGAAATTAGTCCCCACAAAGGTGTATCTTAGTCTGGCCAGACCACTGTGCATTTCATGTCACGACAAAATCCATTGCTTCATTTTTTTTTCTATTCAAGTAGAAAATGAGAAGTTTTCAGATTTTGTTTCTTGTACTCAAATTGATCGGCACGCAATTTGACGTTCCATTATGCTCCCTACGTGTTACTATCTCTACTTAATTATTACTTCTTTCGAATTTTCGAATCTCTAATTAAGCCTCTCTGCTTCCCTTATGGTGTTTTTTTTTAAAATATATTTCTTTCGGGTTTCTAAATAATTCGACATCCTGAATGTGTATTCTACAGTGCGAAGAAATCGAGGGTGTGGATGATTGGATCACGAATTTTCTAGACGACTCCAATTTCAAACTAGATTGTTTTCCCGCCGCCACCCGCATCATCGCCGAGAAGGACGCGGCCATTGTTTGAATCTTTCAGTCCGGTCTCGGTTGCGGACGAGCCGAACAATGTCAGCGGCGACAAAGGCGGCGGCGGCTCGTCGTCGTCGTCGTCGTCCTCCTCTTCCTCCAGCTCCAGCACCAGAGCCAGCGAGATGATCGAAACTGTCTCGCTGGCCCCCGTTGGCCCCACCATGATGCTTGTCCCCGCCAGGGCCCGCAGCAAGCGCCCGCGCCGCGCAGCACCGGCCCACGTCACCGTCCCGATATTACCGCCATCCACCGATGGCCCGCCGCGCCATCCCGACGCTACTCCCGGAAGCGGAGAGCTTCGGCGAGTCATTTCCGCCCCCGTGATGAAGAAAAAAGAAGAAGACGTCTCTGTCCGTCGGCAGCGCCAGCACCCACGCCGACGATTCAACGACGGGCAGGAAGTGTTTACACTGCGGAATTCAAAAGACCCCGCAGTGGCGGGCCGGCCCAATGGGCCCGAAAACCCTATGCAACGCTTGCGGTGTTCGTTATAAATCCGGCCGCCTCTTCCCGCGAGTATTCGGCCGGCCGCTAGCCCAACGTTCGTGCCGACCATTCACTCAAATTCGCATAAGAAGGTCGTCGAGATGCGGAACAAGACGGTGGCCGTGTCGCCGTCCCCGGAGTGCACTCCTGCGGCCAAGAATTGTGACCTTCTTGCATACATTAGGAGGAGTTAGAGGGGAGTTCAGTGTGTTGAGTTTGATTTGAGAGTCATTTTATTGCTGTTACTATTATTGTTTTTTCTTTTTTCCTTTCGGGTTTTTTAGTGGGGTCCCCTTATTTTGTACAGATGGGAAAGTGAAATTTGAGGGTTTAGGATTTTAGATGAGGAATTGAGGAAAATGGGTGGAGAATACTTAGGTTGAGGTTTAGAAGAAAGGAAGGGGGGTATATGATCTTTTTTTTTAGGGGGTCTAGCTTTAAGATATTTCAGCTTGATGTATTGTATTCTTTTTGCAGTCAATTGATTAGTAGGGGAGAAAAAAAAAAACTATTGATGGTTTCATTCTTATAGTCATTATATGTATTCTTTTTCTAGCATTATTTGGAGATTTTGTTTCCAAGCAAAGAGATGAAGTGTTTCTTATAAATCGTGTTGAGATTGTCCGTTTTTATGCTCAATGTAATTGAAGAATGAACAAAAATCTTAACAAAGGACTCAATTATATTGTGAATATACAAAGTTTTTATTGATCTTTAAGAGAATGCATGCTTCTTTTTTTGGGTGGGGGTAGGTAAACTGTAACCTTGTAATTAAGAAAAGAAAAATGCTTTAGGGACTCAAAAACATAGGACCATACATGGGACATGTGAGGTGTCGGCTCCCTGCACTGTTCATGAACGGTGCACCATGGGACAGGGAGCCGACACCTCACATGTCCCATGTAGGGTCATATGTTTTTCGATCCCTGTTGCAACACCCTTAAGAAAAAGAATTTTTAATAACAAGGGTTAAATGAAAAGGGGTTAAAAGTCATTAAAGCATTCACATGGCCAGCTTGTAATACAAGTTGGTAGGTGGAATAAGCATCATGATAGGGTTTTGAGATTGACAGGGGAATACTTCAGCTTTAAGCTTGTGCTCCTTAAATATATCTTTCATCCAATCTGTTGATTGGTAGATTTGCATCATCTTAACCTAACATGTGGGTTATCAATGAGTATAAACTGTATACCCAACTCGTTTTTATTTCTTTTGGATGGAATATCCTACCTCGTTAGGTGATGGTTAATTAATTGACTAACGTTAGGTTAACCATTTGATGGGTGTTTAACTTATTTTTAGTGAGCAAGAGAGGATATCACATCATAAGAAAGCAAACCCTCAGCAAGAATTTGCTGTTTCATTAATCAAGTCCATACTGCAAGCTATAATATTCCCTTGATTGAGGGTTAAGTTTATCCGTATAGAGTAGCATACAGCGCTTGATACTCAGTAGTAACTTTTGAATCAGTGTAATACAGGGATTTTGAAAATTAATACACAGATCAGAGTGTTGTTAATTCTTTTAGTGCACCACTGATGCTGTTGTGAAAACCATTGGATTTTTTTTTTTTTTTTTGGGGGAGTTAACAGTGGCATCAGCACTGCAAATGAAGGTGGGAGACTGACTTATACTTGGATATAATTTTCCTTCCCTTTCAATATCATTGCATGTAATTATTTGCTAAAGGAAATTGATGAGACACAATAGAGTGGTAATCTACTGTTCTGCTTTATTAGCTCTTTCTAAGTTTTGGTGGAGGGAATCATTTTGAGTTAGAAATCATTTGTGGTTTGGCAATTAGCTCCAAGTTAATTAAATTGAATACAAGTTTATAGCAGACCAGCTGATTTGGCTGAAGATCTTTTTCATCCAAAGAGCTTTGAGTCCCAATATCATAGAACTGCATGCAAGTTGGTGATTAAATCAAGTGCAAGGCACTATTGTTCCTTGTGAATAAACTTTAGGTTTGTTTCCACTCATCAAGCATCACAATGGCAGCAAATGAACGAGTCAGGCCATTAATGTCACTAAAACATTTCTGAATTAAATATCAAGTCATCTGTCAGAAAAACACTTTTTGCCTAATTTTTTATCTTGTAAGCACTGAATGATAGGATTTTAATTAAAAAAAATTTGGTCAAAACACATAATTGACAATTCACATAATATTTCATTATGTATAGTTTAAATAAACTCAAAATTTGCCTAGGCTCCAATAATCTTACACCTTAAACAAGTACAGAGAAACTCAAAAAGAGTGTGGCTCAGTTTATCACCAGCTTAAATCTCTATATCCTTGAAAGTAACTTTTATACATGGGGTACTACTTCAAGAGAGTTGATCTCTCACCACCTTGAAGTTAACAGTCCAAATATATAATGGTTAAATTTCCTCCACTGTTTACGCCAACTTGATTTAATTTTGACAACGGTTAAAATTACATGTGGAGGTAAAACATAACAATCTCACCATAATCCACAAACCCCTTTTGCCTGAATCCCTTTAATTTGGTCTTTTCTTATAATGAAAGAATTGTGGTAACTCATCAAAAGGCAATAATATTTACATTCAGTGAAGCATCTCTTCTGAAAATATACATAAATCCCCCTTTCGATCTTCGAACGACTGGTATCATCGGAAAATAACTCTGCTAAAAGAACGAATTTCAGATTTTGTGATACATTCAAAGGGTTTTGTATATTCATCCCTTAAATCATCCATATATATTTGCAAACTTACCCCCAAATCTCAGTATTTGCAAAACTACCCAAAACTCATCAACCATTGGAAGAAAAATTGGCCCCAGACTAACGCTGCCGCTTATCAAAAGGTTTTGGGATTAGATCTGGGCTGATTTGTCAAAGTGTAAAACAATAGAAAAAAATACCCATAAAACCATTTAGTAAGTGACAATGTTAGACCAGGGGAGGGGGTTATTTTTTTTTCCGATGTTGATGAGCAGGGAGTAGTTTTGCAAATACTGAGACATAGGCGTAATTTTGTAAATATGGATGGATTATTTAAGCGGCAGTCTAAATCCTTGCAGATGAGTTGAATATTCACCTTAAGGTCACCATGGTGGTATTGATACTGCTTTGGCAGCATCAAGGTGGTTCAAGCGGCAGGTTCCGAGGAGGAATTCAGGGAGCTCTTCCTCGGTATTTCCCTGCAAAATGGCTCATTTCATTAGGGAGATGACCAAAATTTAGGGTATACTTAAAAATTACCATGGATTTAAGGAGTTATGCACAAAACGACCATAAAATTCTTTAATAGAGAAAACTACTCTGAAATTTCAAAATTGTTAAAAAAAAATATATAAACTACTGAAAATTATTGCTGCAGTGTTAACGGCTGCGATACAAGATCTGAAGAACTTTATAAATAGGAGAGGAGAGAGTAAAATAGAAGATATATAAAGTACATAAGTGCAATTGTCACCTTAACCTACTTTTCGTCAAGAATGATACTTCAGTGAAAAATATTCATGATAGTTTCTTTAATAAAAATTGGCTGAATTACCAAATTGGTATTTTATTTAGGCCCTTTTGGCATTTTAAATAGGCAACTCTACATTATAGCATTTTAAATGATCCAAAGATGCATCAAGTCTCAAATTGTCACTGGCAGTCAATTTGCCAGCAAGAACCCATCACGTGCGTGCACTTGATGTCGTTTTTTAGTTGGTGATGTGGTAAGGACTTGCTGAAGTGGAGAAAGAAGTAGGGGCTCTTTAATTTGGGATTCAGATTCAAATTGGGGCCAACTTTGGACATGATTTGAAATTAGGAGATTTCCGAATGGAGGAATCTAAACGAAAATTGATAAGGGGAAAGCATGGGCAAATTGAGTAGGGTGAGAACTTCGCATAATATCCTTCAAAATTTGGGCTAATTATCCAATTTGGGAGAACTGGGGATTTTAGGGTTAGTTATTGACCTGCCTAACCCCTGCCACGTAATTAATGAAGCTCCAGCTTAGCGCTCCGACACAGATTTAGTGATCATGCAGCATGGACGTGATGAATTCTCGCGGGAAAATTGGCCGGTGATGAAAATTTGGGTCTTGTTGCGCATTTGGATTATTTAAAATGCCTTAATACAGAGTTGGCTATCTAAAATGCCTTATTGGTAAAAGACATCTAAATAAAATACCAATCTGGTAATGTAGCCAATAAAAAGTTAATGGTAGCTTTATGCAAAACCCTTTGCAGATGACACCTTAGTCTAGCTGTCATCAGACGTGACAATTTAGTGAAAAAAATCTTCTCTAATTCAGCTTTGTGCAAACACCCAGAGTTCAAGGTGGTTTGTTGAATTTTACCCAAAAAAATAAAAAAAAGCCTTGTGGTACAGAGCTGAAGTTTACCTGAACCAGAAATGCCATTTCTATCACCAGGTTAGTCAAGTAACCAAGTACAAGACTCACTACTCCCCTAGCAACCGTCGATGAACCGATATCCACACCTAGCTGAAAATTCACATAAGCTAAAGTCAAATTTTATAATGAACTCGAAACATTTCTTTATACGTTACAGTATGATAAAATCATGAGATTTCAATATTCAAATGCGAGCTCATAAATATTGCCTGCATTCCTTTCTATTAAAGCACTATTGGTGATCATTCTAATGCTATCATAAATAAGCGGAAACTCTCTTTTTGAAGTGGGTTAATTGTGGATTGACCCCTTGTACTAGCCCCAACTGCAGATAGACCCTCTGTGGTTCTATTGCAGTAGATAGATCCTTGAGTGAATTTTTTGACTCTTTTACCCTCGGAGAAAGAGAAAAATATTTTATCTTTAATGGACCTCTTAATGGTAAAATAGCCAAAATATATCTATGCAGCGTCTCCCCGCAATTGGGTGATACTACAAAGGATCTTATCTGCAACAGTAGAACTAATAGGGATCTATCAGCAATTGGGCACTGGTGCCTGGGCGCGTGCGTGGTTTTTTTTTGTGTTTTTTTTTTGGGGGGATAGGGGGGGTGATCTACAGTGGGGCCGGGTGAAGAATTACAGGAAAACAGGTAGGAACCAGCAGACAGACTGGCGGTCGACCGTCGCGGTCGCCGCCGTGGTCGACCGTGGATGACTGTAATGGATTTTCTCTCGAGTTTTGGGGTTCGGTCGACCGCCGCGATCGACTGCGAGACCTGCGTGGTTGACCGCCGCGGTCGATCGCCGAAGCGGTTATGATAGGGTTCAGTTTCCAGACCCATTTCATTTTGGATTTGTATAAATACCCTTTGGGTGTTTTTAGGGTATGTAAGGCAGGAGTTTTGAGCAGATTGTGAGGGTTTTCTTTGGGCTTCTATTCTAGGAGCAATTTGAGAGATTAAGAGTGAGTTGTTGAGGGTTTTGGTGAGAGATTGTAACCCTAGTTTGTTCTTCTTAATTTCTAATAGTGAAAACTCCCCCCTCCTTGCCCCGTGAACGTAGGCATCTCGCCGAACCACGTAAAGCTGGTGTTTGATTGTTTGTGCTATTGATTTTGGTTGGTTCTTTATCTTTCTCGGCGATTGGTTTGTTTTTTCTCGAGACACAACAATTGGTATCAGAGCTTCGGGCAACGCTTGGGCTTTTTGGAGGTATAGATCAGTTGGAAAGTTCATCCAGAGCTTCGATTGGTGATAAAGATTGGATCTTTGTGGTAAAGTTTCTATCTTTTTTCAAGTTGGATCTATTTCCTATTTGTTCCGTAATTGTTTGGGTGCTTTGAGATATATGGCTGAAAAAGATAAAAGTTGGGAGGGTTCTTCTGGTGTGAAGGCCGTCCAAACTTTGAATATACATTCTATAAAAATAGATGTGAAAAAATTCAACGGCACAAATAATTTTGGACTTTGGCGATGCGAAGTCATGGATGCGCTAAATGCGTAAAATTTAGAAGATACATTGGAGTTGGACGGGAAACCGGTCGACGTTGATGAAAATGTTTGGAATAAAATGAATAGAACGGCGTGTGGTGTGATTAGGTCTTGCCTTACCCAAGACCTTAAATATGATGTGATGAATGAAACTTCGGCAAAGAGCGTCGAAAATCGTTTGCATTTGAAGAGAAGGCTTTATCGCTTCCAATTGAAGAAGAGGACATTTATTAGTGATCACATGAACCACTACACGAAGCTACTTGCAGATTTAGCGAACGTAGATGTCATTGTTAAAGATAAGGATAAAGCATTGTTGTTATTAAGTTCCTTGCCCGACGAGGAATATGAGACCTTCGTCCTCACTCTTATATTGTTGTTATTAAGTTCCTTGCCCGACGAGGAATATGAGACCTTCGTCCTCACTCTTATTAATGGGAAGGCATCTCTTTCGTGTCCTCACTCTTATTAATGGGAAGGCATCTCTTTCGTATAGTGAGGTCACCGCAGCCCTTGTGAACTATTAACTTCGAAAGAAGGACAATGAGACTTCCATTGAGCCGGTTACGGGGGTATTGGTTGCAAGAGCTAGAAGTCCAAACCGTGGAAGAAGATCGCAGTCTAGAGGGGGGCATCCTGCAGTTGGTAGGAATCAGTGTGCCTTTTGTAGAGAGGATGGACATTGGAAAGCTGAATGCCCAAAATTACAAGCCGTGAAGAATAAAGGGAAAGCTATTTAAGCTTCAGAGGTAAATGTTACCAAGGCTAGTGGCGATGTTTCAGATTCAGATTCTTCGGGCTATTCGTGCCCAGCTCTTCCGTCAGTTGATGTTGCCGACTCCACCGAGTGGATGTTGAATTCTGGTGCTACTTACCACATATGCCCTAGAAGGGATTGGTTCTTCAGCTTTCAGGAGTTGGAAAGAGGGGATGCTGTTCTTATGGGTAATGATCACAGATGCCCTATTGGTGGTATTGGTACCATTCGGATTCGGATGAGTGACGGGATGATCCGGGAGTTGGCTGATGTGAGGTTCGTTCCTCAACTGAGGAAGAACATCATTTCACTTGGGGTATTGGAGGCATCAGGCTATAGGGTGACTTTGGCGGATTCTCGCTTGAAGGTCACATCGGGGTCCATGATTATGATGAAGGGAGTCAGACAGAGTAACTTGTATTATCTGCTTGGGAGCACGGTAGTTGATAGGGCGCTGACTACTTCTTTGGCTAGACTGTGGTATTGTTTGGTGTTGGGATATATTGTTGGTTATACCGTGCACAGATTGTTGAGGAGTGCTATGACCTGCAGATTGAAGTCCTGTGAGCACATTGGGATGAGCGAGAAGATCAAGGTGGAGTTCAGCACTTCTATCCACCGATCGAGGGGTCTTATTGGAGGTGTTCAGTCAGGCATTGGGGGGCCTTCCATGTATGCATCAGTGGGAGGTAATCGTTATTTTGTTTTCTATGTTGGGGATTGTACTAGGCATATTTGGGTTGTAACCAAGTCCCGTTGGTATAAAGCCCTAGTAGTCCGCAATAGTTGGAGGAGGTGTATGGGCAGAAAGGTTACCAATCGTACTTATTCTAGTAGGAGTCCTTTCTTGCATCGGTGCCTAGCTCATGGCAGTTGGAGACACTTCAGAGGAGAGGAGACAGTGGGGCGACGTGATGAGATGGCGGATTTAGTGAGCCGTTCTTTTCTGGAGGAGGATCGGCATTGGTTGTCAAGCAGTTGATCTGGTATTCAGGCTTCGACAGGTTTAGGTCATCTTATGAGGTTGCCGACTGCTGCATATAAAGTTGTTAGATCTGGTGGAGCTGCTTCAGTTTTTGGTTGGCGTCGGATATTTGGCTACCCAGCATTTGGTCACATCGTGGATGTGAGATTGGATCCGATTGCACATTTGGGATTCAGAGGCTCGTTCGGCTATCAGTGGGGAGCTTCTGAGTTTGGTCTGAGCAGGTTTGTCACTTTGGACTCTCGGTAGGTAGAGAGTATTGATCAGATTAGAGGGATACCGCAGCAGGTGGAGGTTGATGCTACTCCACATTGGGTGGGAATTTCCCCACATACTCCAGATCATTCTGCATTGTTTGGGATTCCAGCTGAGGTGGCACAGCGTGAGAGTCATTTATTTATGGGTGCAGATGATGAGGTAGTTGATTTGGATGCAGCTGGTGAATATGTTTTGGATACGGTCATTGTTACATCTCAGGTGGAGGTGTTGGATTGTTTTCAGATTAGGGTCGTTGATGATGCTATCAGCCGCAGGTTGGATTGAGGGCCTTTGGAGTCCATTTGGGGTGAACTACGTGAAGGCTTGATTCCTTGGGCAAGAGGATACGTAGGCAGTCTTTATGATGCAGCCGAGCCGATTTGGTGAGCGACATCGACATTTAGGGTGAGTGTTTGCACTCCCATTTGGGTCTTAGCAAGTGAGGCATTTGGTGTAGTCGGTGTAGGCTCAGTTGCACTCCCATTTGGGTCTTAGCAAGTGAGGCATTTGGTGTAGTCGGTGTAGGCTCAGTCGATTTGGTGAATAGACACAGTTGGTTTGGGGTTGAGTGTTCGCACTCCCGTTTGGGTCTCGACATGTTGTGGATAGGGTCCGTTGTCATGAGTCCGTTGTCATGGCGTACTGGATGCAGTAATTGAGGTATTGTTTTGATCGGTGTCGGCTCAGTTTTTTGGTGGAAACATTCGCCGAGGTGGAGAATTAAAGAATTACAGAAAAACAGGTAGGAACCAGCAGACAGACTGGCGGTCGACCGCCGCGGTCGTCCGCGAANNCCGGCGCGGTCGACCGGAGCTGGTGACGGTCGACCGGCGCGGTCGACCGAGGATGACTGTAGGATTTTCTGCTCTCGGGTTTGATGATTCGGTCGACCGGTGCGGTTGACCGCGAGACCTGCGCGGTCGACCGCCGAAGCGGTTTTGGCTGGGTTCAGTTTCCAGACCTGTTTCGTTTTGGATTTGTATAAATACCCTTTGGGTGTTTTTTAGGGTATGTAAGGCAGGAGTTTTGAGCAGATTGTGAGGGTTTTCTTTGGGCTTCTATTCTAGGAGCAATTTGAGAGATTAAGAGTGAGTTGTTGAGGGTTTTGGTGAGAGATTGTAACCCTAGTTTGTTCCTCTTGATTTCTACTAGTGAAAACTCCCCCTCCTTGCCCCGTGGACGTAGGCATCTCGCCGAACCATGTAAAACTGGTGTTTGATTGTTTGTGCTATTGATTTTGGTTGGTTCTTTATCTTTCTCGGCGATTGGTTTGTTTTTTCTCGAGGCACAAACACGCGGGGGGGGGGGGGCGCGGGGCGCGTGTCAACTGCCACCCACTGAACTCCTAAGAAACATGTTTGGTATTAAGCCCCTAAATCAATTGCCCCCATAATATTGCCCAATTGACCCCCTAGTTGATATGGAACCTCAGAAGTAAAAATTCTCTCTGATGGTTTTTTTGATTGGAGAAAACATGCTGCTGATTTATTGAGTTTTCTTGAACAGGAAGGGAGAAGGAAGATGATGAATAGCAATCATCTTTTCTTTTAGAAGGCTTTTCGGTAAACTTTGGATTTGAACTCTTTTGTCTTTCTTTAGCTAGTAAAGGCAGAATAGTCACATGGGGGCAGCTTTAATTTCCTTTTTTTTCTTGGGTTTTTTTATATTAGTCCCCTAAATCTCCCATGCTTTGAAATTAGTCCTTCAAATCAAGGAATTGCTATCAGGTCTCACAATTCATAATATATTTTGAAATTAGTTCCTTGTATCATTAGAATTGCTACTAGGTCTCCCAATTCTTAATTTATTTTGAAATTAGTCCCTCCAATCATAAAGGCAGCAATTAGAGAAAATTTTGTCACTCACGTTTCTGGATCCGAGCCTTGGTGGGGGCCGCTTATTGACTCTTTCAAATTTCATCCTATTTATCATTTTGATGTAATCGTGGCGTTGTATCGATGATCCTATATGGGCTTTCCACACTCAACTGCTTCGTAAAAAGTATATACTTTTACCTCCAAGTAGTTCTTCCCGCGAAAGTAATTTATTTCAAGTGCTTGACCCACCAAACATGCTTTCTTTCCCACACTTTGCTTCACTATCCAAGATCCCTACATTTGCCATATAAATCACACTTAATGCATGGAAGATAAATCTATCACACATGATTTATGGAAAATCCTGGAAAGTTGCATCAAATGTACATGAAACTCACCGTTGAGATGTAAGGAATGAGCTTAAACCTTGAATTTCTAAACGCATCATCTCCTTCAACGAAGCTTCGTAATAGGGGAACATTTTCCATCGGGGTGTCCATCATATAATATAAAGCAAGACTATATGTGGTTGAACCTGGGACCTACATCCAAGAAAAACATATCCGTAAGGCCCCTAATTATTCAACAATCTCACTATCTCTTCTCAAGGACATCAATTCACCTGTATGTTCACGATGAAGAAAAACTCATTGCCTCCTTGTGCTGCGTATTTCTGCAAAATTGGGTATTTATGAATTTGTGAAAAGAAAACATGTTTGTTAAGGATCAACAATCTAAATTCCTAAAAATACCTGAACAATGCCCCCGGGTCTCCCAGCAAGATCATCTTCCCGCTTATCAGATTTTAGCCAATCAGCGCCTACCATTTTCATCAGAGTGCCATTGGCTTTGATCTGTTCAAAGAAATAATCAAGATTAATACAAAGTGAAAGTTGATAGCATATGCCATATGTACTTGTATAACATAATATTTCTATTCAAGTCCTGCGTCTTAAGCAAACTCAGAATGATCCTAGAACAAGATTTTCTAAAGCCACTTAATGCAACCATTGCTGAAACTTCCTTAGCCCTTTTATGGAATAACAATTAACTTTATAATAATAATAAAATAACACTCCTCATACTCACACCTCAATTTTACATACAAAATATACACAGATAGAAGTATGAGTTGTTATTAACTATGATAAATTCCTATTTTGCTGCATGACCATAGTCCTCACTGTGTGTTTCCATGTAAAAGGAGCAACTTAGCTCGCAATAACAAGTATAAAAAACTAATCAATATAGCTTTAGAACTAAGTTCAATATGTACTAATTACTAATGGCCCAAACATAAAAATACAACTGGGGTAAGAATTTAATTTAGCAGTCCAAATGTCAAATATACATGTTCATAATACCTGACGCAGCATAGGAAACAGGCACCGCGCTAGACATCAAAATCATTGCAACTAAAGGAACATAGCAAGTAGTACTATTAAGGCTATAATATTCATTCCAAAAGAGTATGAAGTATCATTAGCTCATTCAGAAATGAGTAATCTATGTGATGCTAAGTCATAAGAAAATAATTTAATGAGAAAAACATGTTGAATGTTCTAATCGAAGTTGTCCAACTGCAAGGAAACATGGACCTCTTATGTATGCACAAATAGCCAAATCAAGAAACTTGGAAGGTGCAGAGAGGCTAGAATTCGTCGATTGAAAAAAGTGGTCTGCACAATGATAAAGATGAGCTCCACAATTTTTTTGAGTAAATTTTACCAAACCCCCAGTCTGGACATTTGGAACTTAACCCCCCCCCCCCCCCCCCAACCCAAAAAAAAATAAACAAACAAACAAAAATAAACAAATGACTTTGGGAATTGCTAAAAAACCTCCAATAGGTTTGGGAATTTGGCACTTAACCCTCCAAGATGACGTTGGCCCATATTTTGAGTTCCTAACCAAGAGAATATAGCATAAATGTCATAAAGTAGATCTTGGGGATTAAATAAAAAAATCAAAACATTTTGGGAGGTTTTCTGAAATTCCCGAAATTATTGGTGGTTCAGTGAGAGTTTCAAAAAATTTTGTGGGTTAAGTGCGAAATGCCCAACCTTATTGGTGGTTTAGTGAAATTTACCCTGCTAAAGATGACAACATAGTTCAAACAAAGTGATTTCACTAAGATGAAGCTTGTGTTCGAGCTATATAGTGTTAAAGATGTGCAATTCATAATATAAGAGTGCACCACAAACGACCAAATTCAAGAAAACCAAAGTTTCCTATGATTATTAATGCCTCGATGAGTTGCTTGTAAAGCTAGAACCAGTGCATATGTAGGTTTAATTTTGGTTGAATTTGAAGAAAAGAAAATCCAACAGTTTTGGAGTTATATCTAAAAACATGGTGAAAGACCAAATCATTGGTCAACGACCTCAATTATAAAATAACATGCCAATGTCTTAACTTGGTTCAGCCATAAGTTGACACCTGAGAGACAAAGTTATTGGGCTTCCACTCTGGGGACAGTTTTGCTAGAAACCTTTGCAGTAAGAGGGGCAAAATAAAAATATCTTTAACAATACATGATTATCACATGCAAAGTATGCAATAAACCATCTGCTTCATCTCATGCATCTTAAGTACATATATACTTAATTTTAATCTCTCCAATGGAACTCATAATTATTTCCGTTTTCAGTTTTGGAATTTGTCAATTTCTTTCTTTATGGTCACAATATATTAAACATAAAGGTTAATTGCAAATAGACCCCCAGCCGTATTGTTGTTTCGAACTTAGTACCCCTGTAGTTTTATTGTTACAGATAGACCCCTGGATTATTGTTATTATTATTGACTATTTTACCCTCAAATAGACTCATTAAATTCACCTAAGGGGAATATTTGCCAAAATTTCTCCAAGGATAAAAGAGTCAAAAAAAATTAATCCAGGGATTCTATCTGCAACAATGAAGCTACAGCAGTAGTAAGTTCAAAAGAGAGATACAACAGGGCCTGTGTGCAGTTTTTAGTAACATAAACTAATTCACAACAAGATTTAAAAAGTCAGTATAACACTTTAATATGTACCATGGGATCTTTTATGGTATAGGAGAACAGCAGACAAGAAACTCATAGTAAATCGAACAGGGTACCTTATGCTGGTTTTGTAAGTAGGTTTCACTACGGATCAAAAATGTTGAAGGATCTGAAGTCGTCCAACTGCAACCCACAGAACAACTTGGGTCCTTTCGAAGTGTGGCTCCATAGCTACATGAGGCGGAATCCAGCAATGAAGCCTCCTGCAAATCAACATAACCTCTCTTTTGAACTGCAAAAGGAACAAGAGAGTAAACAGTTAAACAGACATTTTGAAACAAAAATGGCAACTGTATTGATGCACCATCTTGTTTCAACAAATTGAAAGAAAATCATCGAACAAACCTGCAAGATCGTGCAATCTTTTTACAAACCCTGCAGCTGCTGACAGCTTAGGTTGGCGTTGTTCCTGACAATGTAAATGGAGAGGTTTGTAAGTGACTCACAGACACAAGAAACCATAAAAAAAATACAAGTATCACAACACAAGGGGAGAAGAAGAAAGAACTATAAGGTACATGATACGAGTCGCCGTGCGAGCACCTTTGATCGCGAAATTATCAAAGGTGGGTTGAGAAGAAAATAACAAGAACACAAGAACAATTCAGTGGTGACGAAGGAAAATACCTTCTTTAGATTATGAGAATAAAATAGTTTACAATCTCTCACAATCTCACTAGAATTGAAGAATAATCTCTCTCAATTCTCAAATACAATCTAATCTCTCTTGATTGCTTTCTCCTCTTTTTTTTAAAACCCTAAAACAATCTCTTATATAGGTGTAACAACGTGGATGGCAAAGTGGTAAATAACCAAGCCCAAACCCAACAGGAATTCATGCAAACAGAAACCCAAACGAATCAGGAAACCATCGATGAGTCGACTCATAAACATGCATGAGTCGATTCACGCCAAGTGAGTCGACTCATGATGAGGTGAGTCGACTCGTCAGAAACTTTCGACAAAACGGCTGGATTTCGTGAGTTGACTCATGACAGGCATGAGTCGACTTATGTACATGTATGAGTCGACTCACAGGCTGAAAACTGGATGCTTCGATTCTTCGATTCGCCGTCTCGTTCCACGCTTCAACCGGCGTTCCACTGTGTTGTTTTACCCCTCTATTCTCAAGTTACCATAAGAATCATCTATCCTTAAGCTCCCATGAGGATCGCTAAGTTCCAAAGAGAAGATACACCAGTATCATGGCTCTCCTCTTTAGGAACTTGAAGTCTCGTTCAAGTTAGAACTTCAGCTGAGGAAACTCGCGAGCTCCTCCTTCCCTGTTGAACCACTTAGCCTTGCTAGGAACCTGACCTTGACGTCCAATGAGAAACGACTCCTTCGTCCCCCGCCTCGTCATGGTCGTCTTCCGCTCTAAAATGCTATCTTTCTTCAGCGGCTCCTCTCTATCAAACCGCAAGTCTTCAATATGCGGCAAGATCACCTTGTCGTCACCTTTCATCATCCAGCAATGGAGGCTCGAACAACTTCAAATACGCAGCATTGATCACCGAATACATGTCTAAGTAAGGTGACAAATCCAGTCTGAAGGCGTTGTCACCAATCTGATCGAGAATCCAAAACGGACCATAACGTATAGGTTTCAACTCCTTCCCTTCTCCTTTTAGCCTCTCTTTACTCAATTTTAGCCATACTATGTCGCCTATGTCAAAGTTACAAGGAACCCGATGCTGATCATGCTTCGTCTTGTACTTGGCTTGTGATTTTTCAATTGAGCTTCAACCGTGGCATGAATATGTGCAATCTTCTCCAGAAATCGCTGAGCATGTTGTCTCTCACTCCCTTCCTTGCCGTCGGCCGTAGCTTCACTGGAAAACACGAGATCAAATGGACTCGGAGGTAAAAACCCATAACAAGTCTCAAACGGTGACTTTCCCAAAGATCCATGAATAGCCCGATTAAATACAAACTGAAGATATGGTAAGCTCTCATCCCAAGTCTTGGGATGCTTGGAATTGTATCCTCTCAACATATGTACCATAGTCCGATTAACAACCTCTATTTGTCCGTCGGTTTGTGGATGAAAGATCGTGCTCTTCTTCAACCTAGTGTCCATCAAGCTCCACAAATAATCCCAAAAGTGTCCGAGAAACCGGCTATCTCGATCTGAAATAATCGAATTCGACAACCCAAATTGCTTCCACACATGCTCAAAGATCAATTGTGCCGCACCCGCTCCCGTCACGGTCTTCTTACAAAGAATCAAGATGACCATCTTGCTGCTGAACCGGTCCACCACAACGAATAAATAATCATTCTCGCGCTTAGTCGTAGGCAATCTTCCTAAGAAATCCATAGAAATACTCTCCCACGGTCTCGACGGTACCGACAATGGTAGATACAATCATATTTTTCTATTAGAATGCTTCGATATGCAACATAGCTTACACCCTCCAACATACTTAGTGACATCCTCTAACATCTTCGGTTAAAAGACATGACGCTGTTGATTGAGAAGCGTCTTCTGAATCCCAAAATGACCTTGCACACGTGATGTATGGGCTTCTCGAATCCACTGCAATCGGTCGCCATCCTCCGGAATGCATAACGACGTCCCTCGATACAACAAACCATCTGCACCAATCTCATACTCCCTTTTTCGACTAGCCTTCGTCTGCTCAAATACACTGCTGAAATCTCGATTGGATGTGTACATCTGTACATACTCCAAAGGAACCAAGGACTGAATACGCGTCGTCACCAAAAGAGCTCTCACGGGTGAGCGAGATAATATATCGGCTAACTTGTTCGTCGTCCCCTTCTTGTACCTAATGATGATATTGAACGCCATCAAATAGGACATCTACTTCATGTGTCGTGCCTGCTGTAGCTTCGTCTGGGCATGTAAAAATTCTAATGGCTTGTGATCTGAGTGCATAACCACCTCCTTTCCCAACAAATACACCCGCCAATGCTTGATTGCTTGATAAAGTACATAAAACCCCTTGTCGTAGGTAGGTAGTTCTGAATAGCACCCGTAAATATTTCTGAATGGTACTCCACCGGCTTCTCATCCTGAATCAACACAGTGCCCATAACATAACTAGAAGCGCCGGTCTCTACCTCGAAGGTCCTCTGTAAATTCGGCAATGTTAATACCGGTGCCTCCGAGATCTTCCTCTTTAATAACTGAAAAGCTTCCTCATGCGTCCTCCCCCACTCAAACTGAACATTCGCCTTCATAAGGCTATGCAAAGGTGCTGTATAAGTCGAGAAATATCGAATAAACTTGTGCAAATACTGGCAAGGCCCATGAAGCTTCTCACCTCCATCACTGTCCTAGGTGTCGACCACTTCGTGATCACCGCCACCTTGCCTGGATCTATCCTCCGCTCAACTCGTCCTTCCCGAATTCGTACTTCTTTCCATTAAGCTTCAGTTGTCTGTTCTGCAGCACTTCAAACACCTTCTCGATATGAACAAGATGCTCCTCCCAGGTCCTGTTGTACATCAAGATATCATCGAGGTAAACTATCACAAAATCCTCTATAAAGGGTCGCAACAAATCGTTCATAAGTCTCATAAAGGTAGTCGGAGCGTTGCACAATCCAAACGACATCACCAACCACTCAAACAGGTCCTGCTTGATCTTGAACGTAGTTTTCCAAGTGTCATCCTCCCGAATCCTCACCTGATGGTAACCAGACTTCAAATCCAGCTTTGTGAAAAACCTCGCTCCTTCCAAGTGGTCCATAAGATCATCAATCCGAGGTAATGAGTATCGATTCTTGATGGTTATCTTATTAAACGCCCGGTAATCCACGCACATACGCCAATCTTCATCCTTTTTGGGCACCAACAATACTGATAACCCACAAAAGGAACTCGACATAATCACTCATGTCTCCAAAAACCCCTGAACATGCCTCTTGATCTCCTCAGACTCCTCTACAGGTGTGCGGTATAGACCTATATTCGACAAAGAACCATCGTCGGTCAACATAATCTCATGCTCCACACCCCGTCGTGGTGATAGTCCCGTGATCTCCGAAAACAAGTTCACGTACTTGGCCTTCAACCTGTCAAGATCTTCCTCCTAAAACTTGCTCAATGTAGTCAAGCACACCCTACTCAGTTGCTCCTTATAAGACCTAATGACTAACAATACAAACCTCTTACTCGCATTCACTAGCCTCTTCGCCTGAGTCATTGTCACCAAACTCGTCTCCTGTGGAAGAGATGTCGAATAAAAGATGAATTGCTCGCCATCTTTGGTGAACGTATACTTCTGGACTCGCCTATCGTAGACCGCAAACCTATCCCATAAATAAAGATTGCCCAGTATTACTTGGTAAACATCCAACGAAACGACGTCGTATGTGACCTCATCAATATACGACTCGTGGAGTGTAAATCTGAAAAAACATTGGTTGATCACACTCAATACCGCCTCCTTCTGAATCCACCCTAAAGTATAGGGTTTCAAATGTTTAACCGTCTTCAATCCTAGCTTCTGAACCAATGCCTCAGATATCAAATTCTTCTGGCTCTCTGGATCCACTATGACATCAACCAAGCTGGTCTTGATCTGCAATTTCAAAACAAAGAGCTGCTCCATCGGGTCTTCGTCCTCAGTCGTGGTTTGCTTCCCCGCCATAAGGTTGAGACTGCTATTGGGTTCTGTCATCCCGGGAACTTCTTTCGGACCCTGAGCTACTACATATACCTTCTTCTCCTTCTTTTTCTTCAATCCTTTTGGCTTCATATGAGGATACTTCTCCCAGCAATGATCAGTTACGTGTCATGTCTGTTTGCAGTGATTGCATGTCAATCCTGTCTTTCCTGAATCATCTTTTTTCTTCTCTTCCTTAGGCTGAGAGCCACTAGACTTGTCTCCCGTCTGTTTGGAGTCTCCCTTCGTTTCGTTGCCTTCTTTTGCCTGCCCTCAATGGCAATGGCCTTCACACTCGCTTCTGCCATGAACTCGACTGTGAACAACTTCATCTCCTTTCGAATATATTCATTCAGACCCGCTATATACTTCATAAAGATGGAATATTCCTCCGTCGCGATGTTGAGAACCATCGCATGCTGCTGAAACTTCGTCGTATATTCTTGAACGGTCTGGTTGAACCTTTGGCGCAATCCGTACCACTTATACCAACACTCCTCAAGGAACCCTACTGAGTAGAACTGTTTCCTCAGTAGCTCCTTGAATTTATTCCACGACACCGTCTTTCGTTCCTGCTTGCAATAGGATTTCCACCATATCAATACATGCCCCAAAAGATTCAAAATCGCGAACATAATCTTCTCTTTGGATGAATATCCATCGATGGTAAAATACGTCTCCATCCGCTCGATCCAATCATCAAGCCTCTCGACATTAACACTCTCATCATAAACAGGAATCTCTACCTTGAAGTCTATCTTCAAATTCTGGTAAGAACCTTACCCCATTGATGCGGAACAGTTTTGACAATCTCGGCCTCCCTATCAGAATCAGATTCCTCGCCTTCTCCATCTGATTCCATAAGTTGTTTCTTGCCTTTCGAAGAAGATTCCTCCTTTTTGTCATTTTCTTGGAAGATATTGACGAGCTGTGTGAGAGTCGAACTCATTGTCTCCATCTGTTTCTCCAATGCATCTAGCCTCGCTGAACTATCTCCTTTAGTCATCTTCTTCTTCCTTAATTTCTGGACTCCTTCCAATAAAATAAGGATCTCGCCTTGCTTCTGCGATCGAGTCAGAACCATACACAGGATGCCCCCTTCATAGGATCTGATCGTTCTGATACTAACTTGATACGAGTCGTCGTACGAACACCTTTGATCACGAAATTATCAAAGGTGGGTTGAGAAGAAAATAACAAGAACACAAGAACAATTCAGTGGTGACGAAGGAAAATACCTTCTCTAGATTATGAGAATAAAATAGTTTACAATCTCTCACAATCTCACTAGAATTGAAGAATAATCTCTCTTAATTCTCAAATATAATCTAATCTCTCTTGATTGCTTTCTCCTCTCTTTTTTAAAACCCTAAAACAATCCCTTATATGGGTGTAACAACGTGGATGGCAAAATGGTAAATAACCAAACCCAAACCCCACAGGAATTCGTGCAAACAGAAACCCAAACGAATCAGAAAACTATCGATGAGTCGACTCATAAACATGCATGAGTCGACTCATGCCAAGTGAGTCGACTCATGATGAGGTCAGTCGACTCATGATGAGGTGAGTCGACTCGTCAGAAACTTTCGACAAAACGGCTGGGTTTCGTGAGTCGACTTATTACAGGCATGAGTCGACTCAACCTGATGAGTCGACTCATGTACATGTATAAGACGACTCACGGGCTGAAAACTGGATGCTTCGATTCTTCGATTCGTCGTCTCGTTTAACGCTTCAATCTGTGTTCCACTGTGTTGTTTTACCCCTCTATTCTCAAGTTACCATGAGAATCATCTATCCTCAAGCTCTCATGAGGATCGCTAAGTTCCGAAGAGAAGATACACCCGTATCAGTACAAGCTTAAAATTTTGGTGACAGCTATTTGCAACGGACAGGACGAGGAACGGGGACAGATTATAAGAATACAACTTCTTACTAAACCAAAAGGAAGTCCAGAAAATTGAACTGAATCAGTTTTTCATGCTCCCACTTACACATTTGAAAGGGGCCAGATTACTGAAACTGAGTTAACTTCTAAGAAATATAGCGAACAAACTAATTTGAAGTATACTCGAGGATCAATAACATATTTTAGAAAAATATTGTTGGCTACAAGACGCCAATAGTAACACCAACAAATATATGGGTCAGGGAGTCAGAGACCGTCCGTTTATATTAGTTTCAACTTCTACAATCGTAAAGCTCATTGCGCCCTTATACACACTAAAACTGTGCAATATAGACCGATAATCTGACTCTAAACTGTTCCTTACAGATGAATCAAACTCTCTAAAGACAATACAATGACCACTCTTTCTCAAGTCACTTGCATATTCCATCTTGGTTGAATGAGTGAAAAATAATATCAATACCTATATCAATGAATTGACTACCCAAGTTTTAAGACAAGGTCCTTTCAAGCCAAGATGATTAATACTTCTCTGGAGCTTTTATGTCTCCTTGGTCATGCTTCAAGGGAAGGCTAAGACAACGATGTCCACTCTACGGTCAAGAACTGACAAGTGAATGTTAAAATTTGATCAACTTGCAGCTTTCTCAAGTTTGAGTTGTGTCCTGCTAGTGTCATTTCATTTAGAAAGCTATTGGTAAGAAACTTACCTCAGAAGAAGGCCGCATAGTTTCATGTTCTTCGTAATCTGACTCGTCAGGAAAATCAAAGAATTCATCAGCGGGATCATTCAGTTGAATGAATGATCCACCTGTGCTTGTTCTCATAAGATATTTTTGTGGCTCTTCTGTGGAATCTAAACTCATGCTAGTCTCACCAACAGATTGCACTTCTTCCTTTATGTCCTCCTTCACAATTTTTTGCAATCTCTCCCTCGTCAATTCACCCGATGAGAAATCAGAAGCTGGACAATTTCCAAGTTTTGCTCGAAACAATTCTCTCAGAGCTAGAAAATGATATTGAGCTCAGGACTATCACAAGATAAATCACTTATAAAAAAGGACAATCAATATTTCATGATCTATAATATTTACCCGCAACTCTTGCAAGCATCCGAATTGTTATATATTTTGCTGACGAGGTAAACAAATAAGATTTCCAAAATTTCCAATCAATTGCAAGCATGTGCTTAACAACTGACTGTTTTCCTTGGTTCACAGGGGATATAACATAGCCTCCGCCTGCAGCAAAGGATGTAATTAGCATATGTACTTACTAAAATGCTAAAGGGCACAGAAAAGAATATTTCCAAATTCTAAGCATACATTACTTTTAAGGCAGGCACGGACATAGCCTCTCTCAGGTTGACATCTTTGATGGAATACAGAATGGTAAAGTATCACTGACAAATTATCGAGATGGAGTGAGCCTAAAATCAATATAACATGACAATGAACATAAAAATTCAGAATTATTACCATATGTTCCGTCATCTTCCCTCCTCCAATAACGCCGTAAAAGTAAATCTCTTCTTCTCATGCCCCTGAAATTAAACTCTATCCAATAAGAAACAGCATAAACTAGAACTAATCAAGGTACAGAATTTAGTTATAAGCTACCAAAGAAACTTAAGCTATTTAAAAAAGCGGAATCTTACCAAGGTAACCACTCCCCATTAAGTTTTTTGTGAATAATGTCAGTATGACCATCTAGATGTTCAACTACTCTTCCCTGAGAAAAGCAGAAGTCCCATCTGCCGTAAAGAAAATTTCAAGTTGCTCAACATAATGAAATATAAGCCTTAAAGGGCTTGTTGTCCTTTTCAAATTTTGTTACATTCAATGGTATCTCACACTGCTAATTTTCTTCGCAGATTAAAATGCTAATAGTAGTACAACTATCATATCTAGAGATTAACAGTTTACAGTGTCTAATCCGTGGATACACGAGTTCAATTTTCACATCTATGGTCCAGTTGTGCAATGATTTAAATCATCTTTCTTAATCCAACATAACAGAAGGCTCGGTCATGATAATAATATTGAGGGTTAATTGAGGTTAGACCCCTATACTATTGCCCAATTGCAGATAGATCACATGTAATTCTATTGTTGCAGATAGTCCCCCTGAATGACATTTTGACTCTTTTTCCCTTAGAGATGGAGATTTTTTTGTGACAAATAAACCTCTTGAGGGTAAAAGAGTAATAAAAAACTTATTAGGGGGTCTATCTGCAATTGGGTGATAGACAGGGGGTCTATCTGCAACAATAGACTACAGGGGGTCTATGTACAATTGGGCAATAGTACAAAGGTCTATCCACAACAATAGAACTACAAAGGGATCATCCGCTATTGGGCAATAGTGCAGGGTGTCTATCCGCAATGAACCCTAACAAACAAGATTTTCTTACTCGGATCTTGATGGACCGAGCGACATCACAGTCTGGAAAATGGCCTCTGAAGTTGCATCAACTACACCTACTGCCATTATAGCTGGATGATCATCCCAAGGCTGAGAAAAAGAATCATACTTTATGACAGTTTCAGGAGGTGAAGAAAATTATTACCAAGAACTATGCTTAGATTGAAAAACTACCTTCCCGCCAAAATCTCCATCCTTGGACTCCTTAAACAACCTTAAGCCTACACAAACAACTCTCCAATTAAAGCTAACAGTTTGGGTAAAAAACTAAGAGAAAGAAGAATAGTTACCATTTTTGCAGCCAAATATTGTCCATGGGGAAGGTGCAATGACATCAGATGTCATTGGATCTGTGTGTACTGATGAGAAGGCAGTCCAATCTAGTAACAATTGACAGTGATGTAGTGTAAGAAAAACCAAAAGTAATGATGTAACTTTTATTAAGTGATTTAGCAGATAAAAGGATTTTTGTTTGATGTAATAAGATTTACCAAAGAAAAAGAAAAAATGATTTTTAAAAAATATAACAAGAACTAAGAGATGGTTACCTATGGAGTGCATACGACTTCTTCCTTTAGAACGGCTCAACCTATAAAATTAGAACAACTTATAGCAGAGACACCTATATCAAATGACATTGGAGTTGCAAATATGCAAAGAAATGCAAGTGAACTTTCTAACGATAGTATAAAATTGTCATTGCAGGTAGAGATTCCTCAAAGTTTGATAATTAACTGAACCAAAATAGTTGTGGGCGAATTAGTTAGACATTCACATTTTGGCTTGAACAAACTGAGCTCCCGCCTAATCTGAAATAGTGATACAAATGATGAGAGAAAGTGTTTTCATTTGTGTCAGCAGTATGAGTAATAGAAATCACTTTGTTTATCCCTTAGTTCTTGATATTTGACAGTTAATAACCTTAACGCAGAATGTCGGCATGTTTCAATAGTTGAATTTTATTATTTTTCTTTAACATAAGAGATAATTCTTCTGTGTTTAATTTAAATTTCTAATTCTCCTATTCTTCTTATACAGAAAAATTTCTACTTGGTTTTTCAGATTGATGTCTCTCTAACTAAATTTTGGCTGTCACATTTTATGCTTACATACAATTACATACATTTATTCACATAATATTTATATCATTTATTCACAAAAAAATTATATCCTTAAGGATGATGCCTTGTAGAGAACGATAAGACCCATTTGGCTCAGATTTTTTTCAAGAATTTTCTCTCTAACTTCGCTATACAACTATCATTTTCTAAAACTGTAAATTTTATTTTAATGCAAAACGAGTAAACTATGTGAAACTCTTCACAATATGAATTGGAATTAGAAGTAACATATGTATATCCAGACTTAAATCAATTCACAGTTCACTTTAATGAATCTCTATGGCATGCATAACAAGTGCATAAAGGAAGGTGAGGCACAAACCTAAAACTCTGCCATCTCCTTTTGGAACAAGCCACAACATTTTCTCCTTTGATTGGACACTCCTACCATCAAGATAACAATATTCAGCTAATTTTATGAAGAAAGAAAGAACGTAACTAGATTAAGCAAAGAAAAACCTTTAATGCTGCTTCCATTAAGGATCGAATCCATCCAGCAGCTTCTTCAGGGCTTCTTGCACCTAACTACAATGTTGAACTCCAAAGTTTAGACCCACGTAGATTTTAAAAAAAGAAATTGAATTAGCTAAAAGTATTCAAAACAAGAACATCATGGTCACCTTAAGTTGATCGTTGTGATTAGAAGCATTATACAATGTGAAAATAAAGAAAACCTGCAAATTACCACAAAACATCAGAAATATGGATAAGTTGAACAGGCCCTTAAAGAGTTTCCCATAAGTTATGTAATGAAATTATTCTTACGCTTCTATTGATGCTCTCTCTCCCATTGTCAGTGACACGTATACAGGAATCAATAAGCGCACTCCTTATAGGATCCTGAGAAAAAAAAATCAAGGTTTAACAGAAAGAAACATAGTTATGTGGTACAACATTTTATCAAGCTGCTTTGTGCATTCTCAACTTGAGTGTTCTTCTATTCTATTTCCACATGTTTTGCATTAGTATGAACCTAACTCAATAGCACATTGAAATCATGAAGAGAACCTCTCATCTAGATGAATTTTATGTGAGATTTTAAACCACCGATGAGCCTGATATAATGGTGTCCCAAGTAGTTTTCTAGAATTCTTCACATATTCATGGCAATCACCACGAAAGAGAATCTCTGTAGCCATATATAAAGCACAAGTATCAAAATTTCTAACGAAATCAAGTCTTTTACCCTCAAGAAACATTTTAGGGAATACTTTTCGACTCAAAATCCCATTACCGGATATCTAGAATCTCGAAATCAAACAGAACAACATAAAAAGCTATAACAAATTCGAAAATACTCTAGGTTCAGAAGTAAATTTAGACTATATCTATACATGTTTAGCTTAAATTTAGTTGTTGTTCATCTCTTGAACAAGATGGATGGAATACATTGGAACAGTTGAGAATGTCATGCACATAACTTTTCGATTTCACAAATTGCTGACAATTTGTAAAGTGACACAAGACTTTCCAAGATTAAGTAAATCAACTTACATGCAATATGCCAATTGGATCACAATAATTTTCCAGTATTTTAAAAAATCATTAAATAGCAACTACAACATCAAAATCTGCATCCAAATAAAATCGATTCAGATCATACACAATCATTAACGATCATCCCCAGAAGCTCAACAAGTTAATCTAATTGACAGCTAACCAATAATTGAACTACAAAAATAACCCACTAAATCAAAATGAGAAACATAACCATTAATCCAAACCCCACCACCTTCCTAATTCAGCTAAAAAGAAAAGTACCTGTTCTCTGGAAGTGGGTATATTTTTATAGCAATTGAGGGAGTTTTCTTCAAGAACAAAGTATCTCTTCCTTGAAAACTGCAGCCCCAATCGATTGGATCGAATGAGATACAACCACCCTTCCATTTTTCTATCCTCTTGAGAGATGCCCATTTGAGATCTTCAACAGAGGAAGCTAAATAGAGAGAGAGAGAGAGAGAGCTGTTGGGTTCTAACTTTTGTTGTTTGGTGAGGAGAATTGAGGAGAGAGGAGAGGTTACTGGGTTTTGTATTTGTATGATTAATTTATTTGGGAAATTGAAGTTTAGTACAGAGAGAGAGAGAGAGAGAGAGAGAGAGGAGCTATAGATGTTGTCAACAGCTTGTCATCCTCAGAAAAAACCCAGCAATGGAGGTCAAGCGAATCTCTCAAATTACAAGAATTTACCAAACCCCTCTTATTTTACTTTTGGGGTTTTTTTTATAAACCGCAAAAAAATCCTCTGATTTATTTTAAATCCACATATTTATTCTTAAACCCATATATTCATATAGTGGATTTTTTTAATCGCAAATATTAAATTTTTTAACTCAATTTTGTTGTACAGATGTCAAAGATACCATATCTGGGGTCTAAGTTGCTATATTTTTAATGGCTAAATAGCACATAAATACCTTATAGTTTCACTCTAGCACTTGTATACGCTCTGTTGTATTTTATAGCACTTATATACTCTGAGTTGTTCAAAAGCAGCACATTGATACCCTGCAAAACGTAAAAAAAATTATCCGAAAGTTCATATAGAGCATTCATCTGCTAATTTTATGACTTCATATATATTAAGTTTGTTGAATTCATTATCAAATATTTCAAAATTTTATTTTCAAAATAGAATTAGGATACATTTAAATTAAAATTTGGATAGGTTTAATAATATTTTAACAAATATTAATGGTTGAAAATCTCTAAACTTAACATATGAATGTTATATAGAAACTTTTTAGTGAAAATTTTCATATTTGCATGACAAATGATATTAATGTGTCGATTGTGTACAACTCAGGGTATATAAATGCTACCAAATACAACTGAAGGTATATTAGTGCCATAAGAGTGAAACTATAAGGTACTTAAGTGTTATTTAGCCTTTTGTTAAAATCTTGTTATATTTATCACATTAGTGCCTATAATTGAACCATGCCCATCCTCATCTTTGGATGATTAACACTCGTATTTTTAAATATCTGAAATGCCCTTAAGTTTACGGGTTATAATAAAATTTCTTTTAACTTTAATATTTTATCAAAAAGGAAAAAGAAAACAAACTAACACCGCTGAATGCTATTTTTTGCATGGGTGGTTAAAATCACGCATGGAGATGTTTTTTCTAGTGAAATCTGCGGTTCACACTTTTAAGAGGTTTTTCTGATAAAATCTTAAAGTTAAATGGTGTTTTTTTATAAACTCCGAACTTAAGGGGTGTTTTTCTGATACTTTGAAATTATGCTAGTTTATCTAATTACTGTTCAAAGCTAAGGGTGTTTATTAAGCCTTCAACGTATCAGTCACTATATTTTTGGATTTGGAATGCTATACTACGGTCTGAATTAATTATGTAGATGTTTTTGGGTTTAAATTTGTTTTTGAAATGGGTGGGCCTAAATATAAATCAGGACAAAAGGTTGGGTTTATAGAGAAACTCTTTATTTTATTTTATTTTGGAGATAGGCAGAGAAAATGTAATTCTGTTCCTTGGCGTGTATTATTGTGTGTCGCTAATTGGGAAAAGACTAGAACTATTAATTCTGCATGGGACAAAAGAAAAGTTAGGTTAACTTATTATTACTTTAGAATCACTAATAAGCCCTGTAGTTTGTGATTTCGGAAAACTGATCCAGCTAAATTCCTTCGAAAAATCCCCCATTTGATTGGGCAGATTAGAAATTAATAAAGTTTAGTTAAACTATATTTAATTCGTGCTGCCATAAAAAGTTTATCTTTCTGCTTAGAGCCGGATTATTTACTTTATTCTTTAAAAAGTGAAAAATACCTCTTTTCTTTCTTTCTTTTTTTTTTTGAAAAGAAAAATACCTCATTTTAAAAGGCTTTACTACGTAGGAAGCAATGAATCTAATAGGGTAAACAATTATAACAGCGATGTTCCAACAAAAAAGGAAAATATAAAATGATGTGACTTCAAAACCTTTGTCTCATTATTATAACTATGAAGCTTAAAATCTATGTACTATCGTACTAGAAAAAAAAAATTGGTTCAGAAAGATATTAATTACGAGAGCATATGAAATTATGAATGCCCATCAAGTTCTTTAATGTCTCAATGAATAGTCTCATTTCCCGTATGAACAAACCCCTTACAACTAATGTTACATAAAGATTAAAGTATATTGTTCCTTTTTATTGGATGACTATTTACGCATGTTAAAAAAATCTAGCATATAAAAGGAGAGAGACTGTGAAACCAGCTAGTTGTAATTGAATAAATTAAAAACTAAAAAAATAAATAACACCACATCCATTTGTTCTGAGCAATTTCATCATTAGTTTGAGATTCTAAAACCCATTGTGAGTATTTAAAGTTGTCCACTCTTGACCCTTTATTTGTCTTTTGAGAGGTCTGTGAGTCATTCATTTAATTAATAAATGCTTGGACTAACTTCTCCTTTCTTTACTTCAATCTTTGTAAATAGGACAAATTTTGAAAATAGACCTATTTACAAAATTAATTATAAATTTCAACATATTCTGAAGTTATTTGTGAAAATAGACCCAATTTTAGCCATCGGGTTGAACTGGGTTCATTTTCACAAAAAAATCTCTGAAACTTCATGGGACTTGAAGTCCCGTGAAGTTTAGCAGTCAGCTAATTAAGCTGCGTAATTTCACGAGACTTCAAGTCCCGTGAAATTTTTTTCTTCGTGAAACTTCACGGGACTTAAAGTCCCGTGAAGTTAAACTGAATTTCCAACTTTCTGGAAATTCAGCCTGCAACTTCACGGGACTTCATGTCCCATGAAGCTACATGTTTTTTATATACACGACGGTTTTCATACTCCTCGGTCGTCTATCTCATATATACATGAAAAACAATTTCCCAACTATTTCACAACAATATACATGAAATTTTTTTTCATGAATCAAACAATATACATGAATCAAACAATACACACGAAAATCACATATATACTGAATTATAACAATATTCTTAAAATTCAGCCATGAATCAAACAATACTCACGATAATCACATATATAAATAATAATCAATCCACAAAAGTAAAAAATTTGAACAATCCTGAAAGTAACAAATTTCACCAAAAGAAAATCACATACATCTCAAAAGTCCTCCTCTCCTTCCTCTCCCTCTCTTCCCCCTCCCTCTCCCTCTCTTCCCCCTTCCCCTCGCTCTTCCCCCCTTCCCCGCCCGCTGATGAGCCTCGATGATCTGAGTATCTGGTTGTGTATGATGTTGGGATGTACCAGCTTCATCAACATGCGTCCTGCTATGAGAAGTGTCGGCTCCATCGTTAACTGGCCTACATCGTCACGTGTACATAATTCCAAATGATCAAGACCTGTCCTCATGGCCTGCAAACTCGTCTACATGAGTCTTATAAAACATGTTTGCTACTCCCTGCTTGATCCTGTTGAAGACCCCTAACGCCGTTGGATCTTGGATGTCATTGATGTGCTCATTTATATCAGCTTCAATGTCATTAAAAGCATTGATCTGCGAGTTAATAAATATATACACAACTTAGCATAAAGAATATCTTAATAAAAAAGAATTATCATTTTTTTAATTTAGTTTAGAAACTTACATAATCTCTCTCGATCATGGCACTAGGGATGTAATTATCTGTCGGTGGGCGTGGCATGTATCTAGCTGGTGGTTGTGGGTCGTGTGTGACCCATCTACGTGTGATATCTCAATACCAATGCATATACATGGTATAATCAACAGATGTATCTCTCTCATCCTATATGAAATCTCACCTATTAATTCACCTATCTATGTAGGACACAAGAAATATGGTCCAGTCTGTACCATGCGATCTAGGTACAGCTGTTGATTATACCCCTAATTACCAAACTAAATATTCACCTGTATGAAATCTCACCTATTAATTCACCTGTCTATGTAGGCCACAAGAAATACGGTCCAGTCTGTACCATGTGATCTAGGTCGTCGCCTACGATCGATTTGCTCGACAGGATCCGGCACATGCTGAGAGCGCAGAAATTATCGTAACACATGATCTGGAACATGCATCTCTACAATCTCCTAACATATTAACGGAACTCCGACTCTCCACAAACCAGCGCTATCTCGACAGATAGGTACAAGAGTATGCATCTCGAGCTCTGGCGGTAATTAGGGGTTCCACTTGAACTGAAATAAGATAAAATCTTTATCAGTAGGGGTGCTAAACCGTATCCGTATCCGAGAAAATATCTGTAACCGTATCCGTTAGGATACGGATATGGTTACTCAAATCTATAACTGATAGGATATGGTTACAGATATGGTTTTATAGTGAAATATCTGTATCCGTATCCGAAATATCCAAATACATATTAGTCATACTCTTACGATAGTTTCGATTCTTAGATTATGGATTTGTGGTTAATTTTGATGATCAATATGTCTAATCTTAACTTTTCAGATATAATGAATATATAAACAAACTCTTTTGTATCACATGAACTATGTTTTTCTCAATACTATCTATCTTTCTCATATCCATTTTATATCTGCATACATATCCGCTTATATATCCACATGTATATCCGTAACTGTATTCGATTTTAGCGGATATGGATATGAATTTTTCTTACCGATGTATATCTGTATCCGTAACCGTATCTGAGATGAGTAAGCGGATATGGATATGGTAGGCATCATATTCGAGCCGTATCCGGACCGAATGCACCCCTATTTATCAGTATAAACAACAGAACTAAATATTCATAATGAATTGAGTTTTATATTTACCTGTTGGTGTTGGAGGCCATCAAGCTCATTTCGGCAAAACTCTATATGTCACGTCGCTGATTTGTACTTAGCGTACCTCGTGTTATACCTATTTGACATAAAGAATATATGAGTACAAATTCAATATGAATAAGATTGTGTGGACAATTATACCTGAATGTCAAAGGAAACTGACCCTGTAGGTCGCGGTGCACAAGCAAGGTAGGTTGTTCAATATGAATGCGTTCCTATGACCAAATCTGTATCAATGTGCAGCATCCATTGAATTCTTTATTCTGCATCAAGGAGACACTGCCTAGTACTCTTTACAAGTACATCAACACCGCACTACCCCCATGATAGACTGCCACATACACCAAAATCCTCTAGTCG